GCCAGCCTGTGACTGTTTACTGACACTAAGTTTGAGACAAACTTTGTCTTTGCAGCTTTTATTCAGCTTTTAATTCATGTAGGTCAAACTATGCACTTGCAGCACTGCCTGTATAGGTGGCGCTCTAGAGCCATTTAAACTTCCATGTACCAATAAAATACCTACATTTTCCAGACCTGACCTGACGTGTGTGCAGAAACCCCTGAGTTTTGCACATGTGTGTGCTCTCTGAGAGGCCACTCGTTTACTAACAGCTGCGCAGAAACATCAGCGCTCCGATCAAACACTCGCAGCCTCCTGAGCTCCAAACAAACTCTGAACACACTGTTCTAAATCCCAGAACTGCGTAAAACCAAGGAGCACCATCAGTGATATAATAAAACACGAGACGTGTTTTATTTCTTGCACTCAGAGCGAGAGCGCGAGAGTGGGAGGGGTGGGGGGAGGATGCGAGCGCTCACAGCTGATTTCCGGCAACACGTTGCGTGAGTGGACGGTGCGGGAGGGGACCGGAGGACAGCTCTCACCTGCCGCACGCAACTTTTATCGTGTGCGTCTCAAGGACAGTTACGGTCCACGCCGGGTTAGTGTGTCACGCAGCGTGGAGGATGGGACTGTAGTTTCGTGTAAACGCACCAAAACAAACACAGCAGCAGCGCCGGGATCGGCGACACCGAGGACAGGAGCATTAATCCGGGTAAAAACACGCAGGCCGCGCTGATCGCAGCGATGATGAGAGACTCGGAGCGGCCCGAGCTGGAGGACGTGGCCGAGGAGGAGGACGTGCTCGCTGGGCTGGAGCACTCCAGGAGCGCGCAGGAGTGCGGTGTCTCTCAGGTGTGTGCTGCTCTCCTTCTCCGCGTACGGGAGCCGCTGCTGCAGGCTGTGTGAGGCAGGAAGCTTTCATCGGGAACAACAGATGTGTTCTGATTTCAGGTACCCAAACAGAGAGAGCTGAAGGGAGCTGAGCAGCTGGCGGTGTCCCGGATGGAGGCAGAGTTTGTGCAGCTGACCTTCAGGAAGCAGGTGTCTTACAGGTAGGAAGTGTCCAAACAGACCGGAGTGAACGTGGCAACAACCACTGATAGTCTGCGTGCTGGGACTTGCTGTGGAAAGGTTACACTTTAACAGGAGGTGAATTGTTACCCACAGTGAAGTGGTCACCTGACACTGACACTGTTCCAGCTTAAGACAGAGGAAGTTATATATGCTGTAAGGTGCAACGTAATCAGTGCACACTGAGTAAGAGGTGAGCTCAGTGATTCTCTTCCTTGTTCTTTCACCAGTAGCACAAATCCTGATGAT